TGCTCTGGGGATGAGAGCCCTCTTTGTGTGTCTGTTTGTGTGTGTATGTTGGGGAGCAAATTGTAGCAGGGTGGCACTTGGTGTCAAGTGGAATCACCCGCATGCGGGCGTGCACACGGCAAACACCGCAGCCCATGCGCATCCACACAGCTCACACTCTGGGTCTTGCATATGGGTATTTAGTGGGTTATTATTATTTGTCTCGATCGTTCGTTTTTTTTTTTTTGTTTCACTCTTTGGTTTGTCTTTTTGTTTATGTTTTTTGGTATATATATATTTTTTTTTTTTGGCTGTTATTGTTCTTATGTGAATACGAATTGTTTCTTTGGGCGTGCTGTTGGCGGAGGGATCCTTACAGCAGCCACCCTGTGGGGTACAAAGGCGCTTGTGCACCGGTGCCCTTGGCGGTTTTGAGCAGTGTTGCTTCTTTTCCCTGTGTGTGCTTGCGTCTTGTTGTGTTGTGCTCGCTCTGTGACGGGATCCTGTGTGTGCCGACACCTCACTCCTCCCCGCTTCTCCTGTTTACTTGCACTCTCTGGGCTGCGGAAGAAAACGCAGGCAAGATCAGCAAAAGCAACCATTGCAATAATTCGCAAGGATACCATGTCCGCCACCCGTCTCAACCGCTTCGCCGTGGCCCTCGTTGTGTGCGTTCTGCTGTGCCTCCAGCTGGTGGTGGCCGCACAGGAGAATGAGACGAATGAATCGGGGTCCATTGACGCTGCCGGCGCCGTCGCGCAGCCTTGGGTGGCCGCCGGTGCTTTTCTCGCTGCTGCCGTGGCAGCGCTGCTCTGGGGATGAGAGTCCTCTTTGTGTGTCTGTGTGGGGGCGAGGTTTGTTATCGTGTTTGTGGCGTTTTAGGTCCATAGTGCTCCTTCCCTTGCTCGCATTCGTTTTCAGGGTCGGGGAGGGAGTGGCCCGCGTAGACGAATTCAAGGGGCTGGTTTGAATTTTTCATGCGGCTTTTCGTGCGTTGTGGCGCGTGCGCATTCGGTCACCATTTTTGGCGGCCCGACATTCCCACTGTCGAAGTGTTGCGCCGGGCGGCAGCGGGTCAGTCAGACATTGCTGTGGCACGGAAGCCCGCATGCTGGACGGCAAAGCTAAACCGGTGGTGGTCCCATCGGCCTGTCGTCACCGGGCAACGTGCGCTTTCTCGGCGGCCTGACCTCTCTGCCGTCGTGAAATCGGCGACAGCGTGACGTTAATCAGGGTATGTGTGCGTGCCATTTTAGGCACACGGTGCGCTGTTTCTCGGTGGCATTCTCCTCCTGTGCAGAGGCGGGGTTTCTGTGTGGGTTTGATGTTCTTCATGCGGAGGTTCAAGCCCTGCAGCGCGTGGCTATTTAATCTCCATTTTTAGTGTCACGACTTTCTTTCTGTCGGGTGTTTGTGCCGGGTGTGGGTGGTCAATCCCCCGGCACTGCCCGCCTGCCTGCCGCATTAAGGGCACCTATGAACTGCTTCCTTCTTCGGTGTCGACTGTGGCTCTGTTCCGGAGTGTTCGAGTGCCCGTATGCGGGATGGTGGTCCCGTTTTCGCTTGAGCCCTGAATTCGCAGTACGTGCATTCAAACGGTGTGGATGCCGTCAGACCTTCATATTCCTGGCAACGCCTCCTATTTGTCGGGGGAACTCTTGCTTGTGGAATTGCCGAAGATAAAACACGATTCCGGCTTGCCTTTCTTACGGCGCCGAGCAGCGAATGGCTTCGGCCTGGGCTGTGCAGTCTGCGGCGGAGGTGCGATCAGTGTGCCGTCTCTCGCCCTCGTCCTCGCTCAAGTGCTGGGAGGCGGTTCCGGCACATCGGGGAACTTTGCTTTCCACAGCGCCTGGGGGCGCGCCACGCCGTGGGCGTCACGATAATAGTGCG